ATGGATTAACGTACCCCATTCTAGTCGAAATTTGTTTCGATTCGCTATGAAAGTTTGACAGGTAAAATGAAGGGTTCGTGTATTTTTCTATGTTTCGAGGGGTGCATCGATTAGCTTGTAGTACCAGATCTGAGCCAAAAAGTTGAACACGTTTCTTCGGGACCTTCTGGTCTTAGACTTACCTCGATGGTACTAATAATACGCAGCTAGTACTGCAAAATATTCAATTTGAGATACTAGCTTAAAGGAGTACAACTTCAGTACAATGGTGTACTTTGTAAATCTTTCGAAGTCCTTATGTGGTGTTTACAATATGCTGGTTTAGCACTGTCAACTAGCTCAACCAACTAGCTTGAATTTCAGTTGCTCCTGAAATCTCATGCTGGTAGTTGTTGACGTTCTGTTTACATTATGCTGGCGACTTTTTAGTACAGTTCTAGTACACTAGCGCTAACAAGAAAGCACAGATTTAAACACCCCATTATGGGGTGTTAAATTTTGTTCTGATGTGCTGTTACTAGTGTAAAAATTGCTCAGCATAAACCCGTTCGCAAAGCTTTTGTATTTTATATGGACTGTTTCAATTAACATTTTAACAATTTGCCATCCGGCCGTCATCATCTAAACATTGCCAAGCCCAGCAGATTGGTTCGCATAATAAATCGATTGAAGGTAAATGCTACTATTCTATTTGGTTGGGACTTCCCCGCAATCCGAAAACTCTTCCACGCAAAAACGCCCTGGGAACCGTAAAAAAAGTGGCCTTGAATGCCCACCCCAGAGCTGCCATTGGCTTAAGACCAGCAGGTTGGGGCTTAGGCTGGTTCCCTTTTAGGACTTTCAAGATGTTCCGAGAGCTTCAAGGAAGCTCCGAGAACATCAAGACAGATCAGAGAATCAAAGGTCAAACAAATAAAAGAAAGGGAGATAATATCTGTCTTTCTTTTCCTCCATTTTTATGGCACATACTTGTTGGTTCATATTAACACACATACCAGGTTGGCAACTGACAGGAAGCAAACTGTCAACACGCTAAGACGTCGTTGTTGTATTCCTCCTCATCATCGGTTGGTTTCGTTGGCTTATTCTCTGACCTCAAACGTTCGGTCTGGTTTCGATCAAGTCTATATCCTCTGGTTCTTCGCTTTCATCTACGGAAGATGTACATTCTACCTGATGGATATTCCGTTGATTTCGAGACTCCGTATTCTTTATCTGGTAGCTGGTATCCGCCACATCAATCCGGTGATTGAGTTTGATTAGATGTTCCAAGTCTCGTATTCGAATAATGGAGGTTTTTGAGCGATAATGTGGGCACATATTGTCCCAGACAACTTCGAACTTCCGTCGTTTCGAAAGCGGTTTCGAGAGCATTTTGTTAAGCCGTTCTACCTCCGATACGAATGCACTAAAAGATTCACCCCTGTGTTGGTTCCGCTCGTGGATCCGTTGTCGAATTCCTTGATCCTGATTTGGATTCCCGAACCGAAACCTGATTTTCTCCTCGAAGTTTTCCCAATCCTCGAATTCGTCCACGTATGTAAAAAACCAGTCCGATGCCTGACCCTGCAAGATCAAGTGTATGTCTCAAAGTAAACTCCGCTGAGAAATTCCTTCTCGTTCTGCTATCTTCTTCAACTTGTAGAGGAAATTTTCTATGGATGCTGTTCTGTTGTCCCCTGAAAAGGAGAGCTTCCAGTGCTCAATCCTTCGAGATTGCTGAAAATTCCTACCCCTATGTCCATCAGACGTAAAGGAGCTTCTTGTACTACATCGGTCACCGCTAGGACTTCTTCGCCTGTATCTGTACCGTTCGTCATCTCGTTGATGCCGGTTCCGTTGGCTGCCAGTTCCTTGATGCCTGCCATGCCGCCGATATTCATCACCCTGAAGTCCTCGGTTGGATCGCTGCGGTTCTCCGTATTCGCTACTGGATTCATCTGTTGTATATTCCTGGTCGCGTTTCGACCTAGGACTCTTGCCTCCTCGAGTATCCTTCCGTCTACTACTCCGTGTATTATATCTATTGCAATTTTGATCCACCGTTTCAAACTCACTGCTGTCGTTCTCCGTGTCAACGTCTCTAGCTGGCATCTTCCTATTTCTCTTAACCTGTTCCGTGCGTTTCCGATCTTCCGATTCCTTCTGATGGTCGTGGCTACCCTGGGGTTTCAGTTGTTGTAGAATGGTCTCAAGTTTACGTACCAACTCTTCCTATGGTACTCTCTGCTGGGCATCTTTCTTACCGTTTGAGGTTATGTCCTGTTTATGTTGTGATGCCGTCCGTCGAGTCTTGTTTGCCCGGCTAGAAACCCGACCTCAGGGCGGGTTTGTTCAATCAGAACCAAAAATTTAATTTCCAAACGAAACAGAAGACTCAAACAGCACGATGGATCGAAATTCTCCACACAAAGAGGTCGCCACAATCGCGACGAGAGAATAGTTGATGCTACCGGTCGTTCTACCTACTCACGAAAACAACACTCACAAGTGCCATCACCGGAGGAACTCACTTATTAAAAAATCCCCGCCGATCGAGACACGTGAGTGGAGCGACTGATTTCCCAGGCAGTCTAACCTGGCGCGAGATGTTTTAAGACAGGTGGGCAGGAACTCACGGTCTCCCAGTGTTGGTGAGTTCTTTGCCGTTAATGTTCACGAAAAGTTCACTATTTTGCCATACAAAAAAAAAAAAATAAATAAATGTGCGGATTCGGACGGTTTTTGACCTGTTTCATACAACCGGAAGGTGTATGCTGGTCACAAATGCCGTGCCAAACTGATTTCCTATGCATTCCTACATCAATCTTTGATGTGAATTTGGCTAATAAACACGAGGAGCATTTCTTAACACAAAAAAGTAGACCTACGCGAAATGTGAGGATTCTCGAAACCAAAAAAAAAAAAATAAGTTACATGGGAAACTTTAATATTTAACGGAAAAACATTTAAGGAAGTTTATTTAATTGCATAACCTAGGTTTTTATTATTCGTGTTTCTTCCCCTCTAGTTTCCCTACTGTGTGCGGATTTTGATCTAGCGATTGCTAGCTAGTTTTTCTCATCGAGCTCTTTTTTTTTTTTTTTTCCTTTGGTTTGTTTTTTCCGTCGATCTTGTTTTCCGTGCTGAGCACCAATGCTACCGACGTGCCAGGAAGGCAGCTCCTACACCTGGACCCTACCTATCGACCCATCAACTCATGAACCGGGGACCAACGGCTTTACTTCCCATCCGAAGGAAGGCGTGATCAGAGATGTTATGCCTCAGAACATCCCGGCGGCGCCGACTGGGATTGAACCCAGGCCTGCTGGGGTGAGAGGTAAACACGCTTACCACTACACCACCGGCGCCGTTACATCGAGCTCTTCTTCGTGGTTTGTGTGGTGTCGTTAACGCATGCGCGTGGTTAGATTAATTGTTGGGTTTACTCACGGTACCGAAATAGCAGGCTGATGAATTGGTCGACAAAGCAGATACCGGCTGGTTTGCGGCGGTATTGTGGCTATCGCCCGAAATGCGGCGATTGGCGATAATGCTGCGGAAATTCCCAGTCGATGGATGGTCTCGAAGCTGGTACTGAACTCGCGCCGAAATGGATTGGCGCTGTAGACGACGTTGGGGCGTCGATGTTTTACACGTGACGGAAATGTCAAATGGCCGCTCTGTCGAAACGGTTTGTTTCCTTCCGGTTTTCCCCTCAAACCGGGACTTTTGACGCAGAATCGTAGGGTCGAGAGTCGCGCTTTAATTTGTTCATCCATACAAGTTGACGAAGAAAACAAATAATTTTTAATTAGGTGTCTATCGGGTAGCATTTCTTCACCACAGAAAGATAAGTTTACAAGTAATACAAAATTATTGGGAAAATTTTCATCACTCTAATTGAAGAATCAAAGTGACGATTGACTCACAGATGGCAAGTGGATGAAAATGGTAATGACTTTTTAATATCTGTCAAATTGCATGACATTTTTTTTTAGTACATCATCATTTTTGTAATTACGGATCGTAAAACTAGGTGTCGCATGACTATTTTTGGCTTTGATTCGCCAATCGACAAGTGTGAATCTACCTTTCAGCTACATCTACTAATTCTCCAATGGTTAAAAAATAATGTAAACCTGACGTTGATCTTGAGCCAATTATCGGTCAAGGTTTTTCCCTCTAAGCCGCGAAGGTTTGACTGAAAATTCACGCCAATTTTAACTCGATATTACTCACCACGCATTCGTGTGACATTTTGTATAATGATGCAAATTTGTCACCCGTGGTCATTGCAGCCTTAGGTAGCCTAGTCAGTAACGACACGGCACGGTATTACCAAGCCGGAGGTGACGGGTTCGATTCCCGATCCGGTAGAGAAAAATGAAATATCATACATTGGTGTTGACGTAGAAAGCTCTCCATTAATAGCTGTGGAAGTGATTCTAAAATACCAAAAACATTGATAGCCGGCAAAACGCCCGCTATAAAAGCCTAAAAGAAAGAAGAGGAAGGCAATCGTAGCCGACTTCCACAAACTGCAGCGTGCAAAGTGATTTTCAAGTTCCTTCAACGGCCTTCAACTCATGCTTTGTCCAACTTTGTGTACTGTCGTCTCCATCGCCAGTCGGACGCCAGTCGGACGCAAACAAGAGACGCGCAGAAGAATCCCGTTAATCGATTCATAGATCTCCTCCCTTGAGCGAATCAAAACAACGGAAAAAAAAAAATCCCCCGAAGGCCCGAAGATCAAGTGTGTGCGAGAGAAAGATGCGGAGCGGAATGGGAATGATGCAACATTTCACTCTCCTTTTCGTCAGTTGCTTCGCATTCCTTTTTTGTCGCTTTCGTTCAGTGTTGAAACATCGAGATGATCAAGGTCGGCTAGTCGAAGGTGGATCACATTTGACATTGAAAGCGCGAGTGAGTAATTTGGCAGGTGTGTGGTTTCAAATGAAATCATCGGTCATTCGGGTATGGAAAAGGCTATTAGGCGCCGCTGACATTGGATGGTGCTCGTTGTTGGCTAATGTGATTTATGATTTATTGGCACTGCTAGAAAATGTTCCTCACGATAGTACAATTAGCTTAATCGGTTACTTATGCTAGCGAAAGTTCACTGGCGATGAACCCGTCGAGAGAACTAACCTTTGTTAGTTCCATCAATCAGCGCTGGAGGTCCATCGCAATCTCCAATTCGGGGGAACACAATTTCAAAACCTTACAAACTAGAGGTACCCATTACAAGTGTTACGAAAACAAAACTGTAGTCATTACTATCACAGAAAGATCCCCATTAACTAGGAAGAAGTTGGAACATCGTGGGTTTTTCGGTCGGCTAGCGATCATGGCCTGACCGTCGTGCTCGATCCGGTCATGTTTAACGTCGGCATGGCCGAATTCTTCAAATCCTGCTTGTAGAATTCTGCATTGTATCGGGATGCCTGCAAAAGAAAAATATTTTGGATTGGTCAAACTAGAATCTTCCGCTGAGCTAGTAGCCGGGCCTTACATTCCACGCTTCGTTCCACTCCAAGCGGAACAGCTTCTGCAGGCCTCGGTAGTTCCGATTCAGGATGCGACCCAGTTCGGCTCGGGAGATTCGATACTTTTCGGTGGTGCTCGTCGCTGGGTCTGCGGTCGTCGTCGGTAACAGGGGCTACAATCAATCAAAATCGACAAATTCAGTTCAGGTAAGATCTACACTCATAACAAGCCTCAACGTTACATTTTGGGTCGTGGTGGTGAAGGTATCGGTGAACTCGTTCCTCGCAACGTCGTAGATTCGCTGCAGCGTCCAGGTGGTGTCGTTGTACTGCTGGTAGAACAACCGGCCCACGGTTGCAACCTTCTGGAAGAAGCCAAGCGCACGTGTGTGCCGAATAAGCTGAGCAAGGGTTTCAAACAGAGGAAAAAGACACACGCACACACAAGAAAGAAAACCATACAAACGTGTGGATTAGTCACCATATCAGCCTTGTGAAAAAGTCTCTCAAGTGGGGGTGATTGCTTCGTTTAGTAGGAAAATGCAAACCACTCAAACGCCAAACGCCAATAGCAAAAATCCCGCTACTTACCGGTTTTTTAGAAGATGCGGACGACGCTGAGCTAATGTTGGCCTGGGTACAGCTGGCTGCCAGGAGGAACACCACCAGGGCAAGCTTCCACGGGGACATCGTTAGGGGGGACATAGCTGGAGAAGGGATGAAAATGGCTGCAGGAGAAATGGTGGTGGATTTTTAGAAATCTTTGGATGTTCTTTCTCGCGAACAGGATCATATACTTCGCTGCGAGTGGGGACGTTTCCGGGGTGGTAAGTGCTTGGTTGTTCTGTCGACTTTTTGTGCGTTCTCTACATGAAAGGTGGGGGTCGTTCTGTTCGTAAATGTGGGTCTAGGATCATAGTTATCGCCGTTCAGTAAAATTACTACTCAAAGCCTAGACAGAGGTTTGCCGAACTTATTGTGTTTGGTTCAGAAAAGCTTCGTTTGCTTCAATTACCGAAAATTGTGATCGTAGGTTTCGATATTGAAGGCGATATTCACGTTTAAATAAATATTTGTAATCTTTGATGCAGAATTCCTTTAAAACATAATTTACAGTGCCTTTCCGTTTTTGGCAACATGTGATTTATGAATGCCTTGCTTCCCGGAAAATCAATTTTAGGCTTTATTCCAGATTTGATTTCACTCGACACATTATTTGGAAATCTTCTCTACTTGGTATTTCTTGAAAATTTTCCCAAAATTTGCTTGAAAATTTGAGGAAATGATTAACTGATGAGGCCATGCTGCAAACAAACGGAAAGGCACTCATTATTTAAGTCACCAGTTTGATCTCGAAAATGCCTAAAAAATAACGTTTGATAACAGTTACCATAAAAGTATTTCGATGGACCCAATAATTTTGAACGTATTCGACATTTTGTACGTACTTAAATCAACCATCTTGGAGTCCAAAATGCGGTCGGATTTCGGTTCCTGGAATGTTTTCTACAATACCTATACGTGACAGCTTTAATTGCAGTTAAGCCGAAAACCACAATTTTGTCTTTGAAGGGTGGTTTCCGAAATATTTTACAATCTTGTATTATGGCATTAAAGAAACAGAACGATATCTTTTAATAATTAAGAGAGAGTTGATCTTAAGAATGAGTTCCGTAGATCCACAACGCACTAACTATAGCATTTCAAAGAGCATCAAGTGTTTCCTAGTGCACGATTGGAAGACCCTTTGACTTTGATTAAACCCTATCCTGGCCACAAAAATGCACCAATATCTTACTGGGGTGGGTGGCTCAGATAGCTTAGTCCGGAATGGCCCGGTATTACCAAACCGAAGGCGGTGGGTTCGATCCCCGGTCCGGTTGAGGAAATCATTCGGGATGGAAATTTTCTCGACTACCCTGGGCACTTTCTCGACAATTGTCTGAAGGCACTTTTTTTGCAATATTCATGTACCTCAGTTTTTTCTTCACAGGATGTTTGTATTGATCCTAACCAACAAATCTGTGCTGGTTTTAAAATATTCCATCTTGGATTTTTTGAGAAAGACTGTTTTGAAGTTTACAATGCCGATTATGAAAGCGTATATTGACTATTGCCGATACCAAACTATTACGAATTGAACAAATGCAGTCAGGCAAGGTTCAAAAGTTGATTTAATTAATCCAATTGGCGTTAAAGAGCTCTCTTTGACTCGCAAGTAAGATCCGTATTGGTGATGACGAGTTTGCACAAAATCAATTAATATTTGTTGCTAGAACAATAAATTCTGGTAACCATGACAAATTTGTTTGAAAATAGTTTAACCGATAATGCCCATAATATAGGAATAAAACCCACATGAGGTTAGCTACTCTTGCCCAGTATGTTTAAGTAGCCCTTATCTTGAATTACTGCAGAATTTTGAGAGCTTCTTGCAGTTCCCTTATTTTGTCTAAGGAAACTTTCAGGAAGGTTCAGCAACTTTCTAGGAAACTCCGCGAACTATAGGGAACTGTAGTGAATTTAAGGAAAGTTCTGCAAACTTTAAAGATGCTCCTCCAAAAAATCAGAGCAATTTTCAGAGAAGCTCATTGAGCTTCAGGGAAGTTCTACAAACTTCTGGAAAATTATTCAAACTTTGAAGATGTGCTTCGATCATCAGAGAAGTTCTATGAACTTCAGAAAAATTCTGCCAAATTCAGGGACGTTTTGTGAGCTTCAGGCGAGTTTTTTGTACTCCTGGTAAGTTCTACGAATACCCCGTAACGTGCGTAGATCACCTTTTCGTGGTACGTTACGGGATGTAAGATCTACCACTGATTCCTAGTCCTGACTACTTTAAACTAAGGGAACAGGACTTTTCAGTAATCAAAGGAACACATCTTAGTCCTTGTTACTTTTTATGCCTTGTTGATAGTGACCGAGGATGATCTTGAAACAAGGAAAAAATGAGTTAGTTAGTCTTCACCTATGTGATTCTTAATCTTCAATTCGTTGTTCCCTAGTTTGAAGTGGTTAAGACTAGGGTTCTGATGCATGGTCATTATCAGTGTTATTCCTTAATTTTATTGCTAAGGAATCCGATTTTGACTGACAAAGGGGCGCGCCTTTGGAGGGTGTTCCAACACTTCGAAGGGTATATATAGCGGGACCTTTCAATTAGGGTCGGATCCTTGCGATAAATCCAAGAATAACAACTGTAAAAAAAAACTGGAATACTTCATCATTTCTCAATAGTGATGGAGTAATACGTAAACTGTAGCAGCATTATATGAATTTTAATGATGCTCTGCAAAAAGTTCTTTAAACGCCAGGAAATTTAGGGTGGTCTGTGAACCACAGGGAAAGTTTACTAACATTAGGAAAGTACTGTGAACTTTAAGAAATATCTGAGAAATCCAGAAACTCACACAACTCACAAGTTCTAAGACCATCAGGAAAGTTTGAAGAATTTCATCGAAGTTCATCGAAATCAAGGAAAAACTTCTGAATAGGGATTTGAATTTGAATGTAGCTTCTATAAACTGTCTCATCGGGAACAACTTCCACTCAATGTCTTTGAAAACAGGTATAATAAAGAGAATTTGTTGCGATATATATCTTTCTCTTTTACGCTTCCCTTATGAAATGTGATCAACGGCATGAGCAGGGTGGAAGGGTTTAAAAAATGAGAGTTCGCCACCTAAAAAATATCGTGATTACGGCAAACGCATGTTACATTGCCGTTTACCTGTATAAACAATAAGTTTATGAAAATTGAGGTTCACAAATATCGAGAAGAAAGATGTTAACGAAGTTCAAACCATTTTAACTGCCGAGGTGTGTAGAAATTTTCAAATCATGTCTGACGCAGGTTTCTCCCAAGAAACGTCATGCATGTAGTGAAAACCGGAAGCTTCAGAATCTCTCCGAATTGGCTGACGAAATGAGGGATAACTTTGCATTATAGCAGCGTTTCTCAATCTATGGGTAGCGACCCATCAGTGGGTCACAAGCTACCCTCAGGTGGGTCGCAGAAATTCAGATTGTTGATCATAGGTTTTTTAACAAGCATGTAGAATAGTTCTGATTTTAAAATTATACAGGGATAATCAATTTAAAAGCCATTTTGGCATAATACAGCCAGTTGGGAAAGTCTAGGTCATTTTGACTTATTTGGACTATTTTTGGGTATTTTAACATGTCATGATTATTACAGGAGTTGTCATTATCAGGCTGTTGATAAGATCTGTAGACCAATTAAGCGTTTATGATGCAATTCTAGGTCGTTTTGATCTTGTTTAGCGATTGTGAAGCCTTGTTGGTGTTCTGACGTTGCTAAGTCATGTTAGCGTTTTGAGGTCTTTTTCGCGATTTAAAGCCTTTATTATGACTTTTTTTTTAATAATCAGTCTGAAGTTAAAAGTAGGTCTTGACTCTGTTTTTTAACATCGTAATGAGGTGGTTTTCTAAATACTTTGAACTTTCTACAGCTCCATATTCAAGGGACCATCGAGTTATAGAATTATCGAGTTATAAAATACAAAATCGCTATTACAGTAGCCATGAAGTTAATGTTTACTATGGTTCTAAAACCCATCTCACTGCGTCCTAGCAAGAAGAACGGTCGACTTGTTTCGCGCTCCGTTAATTTGGAAGTTTTCTCGCTATTATCTGACGTAAATAATCAGTTTTTTCTCGCTTAGTGATTCCTGGCATAATTCCCGATAAATTTATCAAAAAGTGAGTTTTTTTCTGAGAAGAAAGTGTGTTTTCGGCATCATCGGAAGGAAAATTGTTTTTGCGATTGCCAATTCGCCAACCATTTTGCGCACCATCGGTGCGTGGTAACGCATACCTGTACACGGATCATCGTCATCGAGTGTCAGCATCTGCCTCCACATTCAAACCGCTCATCCATCTCGTGTGTTCAGCTGAGTGCCGAGCTTCATACAAGCACACACCAACGAAGACCGCCCGCACACGCGGATCGAAGATCATCAAAGCTGCGCGTCGCTCCGCTGCTGCTGTGTAAACGCTCGGTGGTAGTAGTATAGGATTATCAGATAAGTTTTTGTTCTTGTTTCTTTCTCTCTCCCATCAGTTAAATTTTAAGTTTGTGTTTCTGTGTTTGTATTTTTTTTTTCTCGTGTATTGTGTCCGAGTAATTTTGATTATCGTTGCAGTGGTAGAGCGTTTTTCGCTCCCACTAGTACGGCAAAATGGACATTTTGTCGGAAGACGAAATGGACGTTTTGTCGGAAGATGACACCACTTTGCCACGCGATAGCAAGAAGGGTCGAAAACGTCTGTCATCCCAGAAATCAGATGATGTCATCCCTGGTTCGTCATCTCAGTCTGGTAATGGGCAGGGACAGATAAGCCCCCGATCGCGAGCCTACCCAGAAGACTCGACTGGCCCATGGGTTGTTTACTTTCAGCCCAAAAAGAAACCTTTGAATGTAAGGCAAATTACTAATGATCTGACGAAGCGGTTCTCGGCCGTGACCGAAATCTCGAAGGTGAGGTACAATAAACTTCGCGTTGTCGTCTCTAACCTGAAACAAGCTAACGAGATTGCTGCCTCCCAGCTCTTTACACTCGAGTATAGAGTGTACATCCCAGCTCGTAATGTGGAGATCGAAGGTGTGGTCACCGAAGCGAGTCTGACCCCCGAGATCTTGGCGAAGCAAGCGGTTGGCCGTTTCAAAAACCCCTTGCTTCCCACGGTTGAGATACTGGAAGTCCAGAAGCTGAACTCAGTATCTTTCAGCGAGGGTAAAAAGAGCTTTACCCCCACAGACTCGTTTCGAGTGACCTTTTCTGGTTCAGCCCTTCCTCACTACATCGAGTTGGGAAAACTTCGGCTACCTGTGCGTT